TCCTGCTGAGGTCCAAAGAAATACTTGCACAAATAATTGCTCACCCATGTAAGTAATTTGTAGTCTGGCCAAAATGGACAATGTTATTGTAAAATGTGGTCAAAATGAGAACCTCTGATACAACCTCTTCTGATCTGTGGGAGCTGGGAGATATAGCTGATCTGTGTTTACTTAAGAAACAGTAGGAAATGGTTTTGCTTTTCTGCTTCAGATGCCGTGAAAACTCACCAGCAGAGCTGATCTTGCAAGATGTATACTTTTCAGTTAGCAGAAATGTTTCCTGACTGGAATTTGGAATTTAGAAGACTTACCATAATAGTGGTTGTGTGCTGCCTCAGTGTTCCACCTTTATACACACTGTGGCATATCTGAAGAAAAATTCAGAAACTCTAAAACTCTTATGAGAAACCTCTGAAAGAAGATTATGCAGTTGTGCAAGTACATAAAGCATCTAACGCCTGGTGAAGTAAATTTTTCAGGGTCTATATAGGTCTGCATACTTTGCCTTACACATGATCAGTAAATTCTCATGAAAAAAAAATTACTTTGGAAATACATATTTTCATATAAGCGTTCAATAAATGTTTCAATTTTGATGGTAGTAAATTCTGTAGTTTCCAGTGGCTTAGGAATAAACTTGCAGAGAAGTTCCAGTAAGTTCCAGTATGGGCTGCGTTGTGGAGTACTGAAGAGGCTGTTACTGCATATATCCCAAGTGACACTTTTCTAGCAATAATTTGTTACTGGATCCGAAGTGACTAAGATAGGATTTCTGTTTGTGGATGGCAGGGATGATACACATCTCTGAGACCAAATTCTACTGACCTTGCTGAAACTCTCTCATGAATCTGATTCTCCGTTAGTTTGAACCCTGTTTGCGTGTTAGGTAAAAGCAAGGGAATTGTGTTTCTCCAGGATGAAAGGCCATTTGTAAAATTAAGACATTGCTTGTACTTAACATTTCATAGTTACATATTTTATTATTTTTATTAGTTGTAGCATCATTTTGGTTAAAGAGTGCTTCCCCTTTAAGGTACCACAAGCAGCATCTTTTTTTGTCTATTTAGATAAACTCAGGTATATGTGCTTGTGACAAGAGAGCACTGGAACCTGAAGAGCTGCAGGTGTTTTCTGGTGGTCACAGGGCTGGCTTTAAGTCAATAATATTAATTTTTAGAGTCCTAAATGTCTTTTTTTTTTTTGATGCTGCAGATTTATTAGCAGAGATGCTTATTTCCTTTTGCTTTGACCAATAGGCATTTTTTCTGCTAAAATGTTCGTGAGACTACCAGGTTCAGGAATCAGTACATTCTTGCACCCACTTTGTTTGGCAATATGTTTGGTCATTTTGACCTTAAAAGTATACTATATTGGAAGTTCCCAAGTTTCATGGTGAGGCAAAAGTGCAGTTGTCCTAGATATGTGGTATGAAGGCATCACATAACCTTCTGGTATTTTGTTTCTTTCTTTCTTTCTTTCTTTCTTGAGGGACAGGTGCCCAGTGGGTTGTTTTTGAGAGTATTACTTATTACTAATATTATTTAGGTCCAAGGTGCTTGAACTTCTGGGAGATGCCCATTTGACACGTATCTAGAGAGAAACAATTTTTAAAAGTACTGGGTTCAACTCCATTTTAACAGCATTATGCTGTTGTAATTTTCCTCTTGACACAGGAACTGTTGCCTCCAGAAGCCTGTCATCTGGCAATAAGCAGCATCAGAACTTCAGAGGATGGTGTAAACTAAGCTTATGGGGTACTAAAGTAAAATGTTATACATTTTCTGTTGCCACACAAAGACTTGGGCCAAATCTTGTATAGGGGGAAAAAAAAAAAAAAAAAAGAATTGGTTCAGTCTAAACTTTTGTTCCTCAGGAAGCTAAAGAAGCTCTTCAGGAAGCTGAAGGATGAAAGAACTGAGCCAAAAGAAATGGACACCAACCAGTCAAAGGACCCTCAGCAATGGGATCTTGACTACATCTTGGAACCTTTCACTGGGCTCACTCCAGAATATATGGAAATGAGTAAGTTTTCTGAATTCCCTTTCCCTTTCTGCAATAACCATAGGTTTACATAGGACCAATCACTATGTATTTTATGACTGTACATCATAACATAGCATGATAAAGGGGGGAAAAAAACCCAAAACACTTGTAGCTTTGCAGAAATTACATACAAGACACCAGGGCTATGAGACTACCACTTTACCAGCATAGCAACAATGATGAGTCCTAGTATCTGTTAATACTTATACTGTGAGAGTCCAGTGTTCCCAGCTGTGAATTGCATAGAAACCATAGAGCCACAGAATCACAGAATACCTCTGGAGATCATCTAGTACAACCTCCTGCTCAAAGCAGGGTCAGCTACAGCAGATTGCTTAGGGATTTGTCCAGTTGTCCAGTTGGGCTTTGAATATTTCCAGGGATGGAGACTCTACAACTTCTCTGTGCAACCTGTTCCAGTATTTGATCACCCTTACAGTAAAAAAGTTTTTCTTATGTTTAAATTGCATTTCCTATATTTCAATTAGTGCCCATTGCCTCTTGTCCTTTCACTGGGCACCCTTGAGAACAGTCTAGCTCTGTCTTCTTTAATCCATCCAAGAGGAATTTGAACACATTGGTAAGATCCCCCTGAGCCTTCTCTTCTTGTGGTACAACAGTCTCAGGTCTCTCAGCTTCAACTTGTACATCAAGTCCTCCTTCCCTTAATCATCTCAGTGTCTCTTCACTTGATTCACTGCATTATGTCTATGTCTGTCTTGTACTGGGAAGCACAGAACTGGAAAGAGCACTCCAAGTGTGGTCACAGTAGTGCTCAGTAGAGGGGAAGGATCCTCTCTCTTGACCTGCTGGCAATACTCTTCCTAATGCACCCCAGAAGGCTATTGACCTTCTTTGTAGCTATGCCACATTGCTGGTTCGTGTTCAGCATTCTGGCCACCAGGATGCCTAGGCCCTTTTTTGCAAAGTTGCTTACCAGTTAGGCAGTGACTAGCGTCTACCGGTGCTTGGGGGTATTCCTCCTCACGTGCAAGACTTTGCGTTTTCCTTAGCTGAACTTTGTGAGATTCTTCTTGGACCGTTTCTCCAGCTTGTTGAGGTCCTTCTCAATGGCAGCACAACCATCTGGTGTAATTCCTCCCAAAATTAAAATTGCTCATTAGTGTTTCAAATGTAGTAAAAATATTTAGATTCCAAAATATAAATGTGTATTTTCTCATAGAAGTAAATTATCCTTTACAACAGAAAACCATAGGAATGTCTTTTTAGATTACTTAGTTCATGACTGAATGTTACATGATGTTAAATCATGTACACAGCATTCCCAACTATGCTTAAATTAAAATCCACACACATATACAACAGGAGAGAACCTTCAGCCTGTAAGAGCTTCTTGGTCAACTGAAAGACAGTGGAATGGAGAACTGTTATTCCCATTTTACCCATGGAGAGCTGTGGCATGCAGGTATCAAGTTGGCCACCCTTCCTAAGAAAATCTAGGACACACTTAGGAATTATTTCTCAGTTTTCCTCCTTTCATACCAGTAGCATGTGCATACTTCCTCTGTGTGCATCATCCTGCTGGAGTGACTGACGTCATTAGTGGTATGCACTGCCAGATAGTTGGTCGTCTTTCAAACCCATGTGAAGTACGAGCAAATCTATTAAAGTCAATGTCCTGGTTTCAGCTGAGAGGGTTCATTTTCTTCACAGTAGCTATGGGGCTATGTTTTGGATTTGTGCTGGAAACAGCGTTGATAATATAGAGATGTTTTTGTTATGTGGACCTGTTGTTGTTGAGCAGTGCTTACACAGAGCCAAGGCCTTTTCTGCTTCTCGCACCGCCTTGCCAGTGGGACGGCTGGGGGTGCACAAGGAGTTGGGAGGGGACATAGTACAGGTGACCCAAACTAGCCAAAGGGGGTATTCCATACCATGTGACATCATGCTCAGCATAAAAGGGGGGCTAGCCGGGGAGGGGTGGCAGCAGCTCCAGGACGCGTGGCTCGGGGACAGTGCAGTTTCAGGACAGGTCTGAGCGTGCGGTCTGAGTTGTATGGTCCTTGGGTGAGAAACTGCATTGTGTATCACCAGTTTGGTATACTCTGTTAAGTACCGTTTTGTTTTGTTTTGTTTTGTTTTCCCCTCTCCCTTTGCTACCCTAGTAAACTGTCCTTATACCAACCCACCAGGTCTTGCCTTTTCCTTCCCATTCTCTTCCCTGTCCCACTGGGGGGGGGGGAGGGGCTGCGTGGTGCTCAGCTGCTGGCTGGGGCTAAACCACGACAGTCAATAGTGTTCTAATTTTGTAAAGCTGCTGCCCACCATGTGTATATCATCTATGTGTACGTACGCACTTGCTGTTTTTCACAATTACTTAGATTGCTGCTAAACTATGGCAGAAATCAGTACTTTTTTCAAGGTTGCTCCACAGTTTGCTTTTCCACATTAGAGGAGATAAGTTTGTTGGTGGAAACCCACATGGAACTGGGAGCAATTCTTTCTTGAAGTGGCAAGATGCCACCAGTTATATATTCTGTAACCACACTGTCAGGGAGACAGCAGTTCCTGATTTCTACTAGGTGGGATCCAGGAGCTGGATCTGCTGCTTCACAGAAATACCTCTGTCAAGATGCAATGTCTATCAGAGTGGAACTGTATGCATTTTTTATTATCTGCAAGTGTGGATTGCTGACATCTTAGTGACTTGATACATCATTTGCATATCATTAAAAGACTGTGATTTAGGGTTTGAGGTTGATGTGTCCACCATAAGTCATTTGAGATGTAGCATTAGAATATTTTCTGCTATCTGGAAGTCAAGAGTCAGGAAAGAAACTTTAAAGCACTGAGTTTGTTCAAATAAAATATAATCAATAATTTATTTTTATTTTAACATGTTTGGCACTGTGCCATTGTCCTCAGTAGTTACGATTTGGAAGTCTAGTCCTTTTGGCATCTTGATTGCACTTTGCTCAAGAGTAACTCCATTGCCCAAAGTTGTGCTGATACTTAGGAAATGATGTTTGAAATTCTGATTACAGTATCTGGCCTATAAAATGGATACAGAGAACAAACCCAACAACTAGGCATTTTTGGTATAATTCTACTTTGTGAGGAATCCTCTGTTGCCTCCTCTCAGCTTTCACTGAGACCGTTTGATCATGTTCATCTCCATGCATCCACTTACACTCATCCACTGCTCCAGTAGGAGCAGGTCAAACACCGGGATAAAGGAGTACACTACAGTTGAATTAGCCAAGGACAAATATCAAGCATCTGATAGAGAATTCCAAAGTGAAATATATACATGACTTCTTTCTCATTCTAAAGTGTGTTTGTTATACACTCCAAGGAGTATCTCTATGACTGAACAGAACCCAGGAGGACAGAGGTGCAAATAATCGCCAAATAACTCAGTCTTGCAGCCCTGGGACACAATCCAACTTCAGCTGTCCTCAGGGAAGGGAACCTGAGAGGAAGCAGCACACGGGGATGCTAGTGAGTAAGAGGCCCGGCTCTTCACACCAGATGCAAACCAAGATTGCAGTCTACCCTTCAGCCCTGTAGCTGCCTCATGAGTAGACCCTGGAGAGGCAGGGGAGGAGAAAGGGGGAATGATATGGGCGGGGGAAGAGGAAGAAGAGAAATAATGTAAGCAAACCCAAGCTTTAGGGCATAAAAGTATTCAGGAGAGAACCACAGCTTGTCAATGGGCATGTTATCTAAAACCAGACATCTGTTAAATATTGTATGTTGACACCTCCTGTTTAAAAAAGCCACTATTCTCAAAATATCTGAAAGAGAATACATTTTATGACAAAAAAAGTGAATAGCATGTATGTTTTATCTATATATATAGAAATAGCTACATTGATTTCTAGATATAATATAAAATATATCTATAAATGTATATATAGGATTTTATATAGTGGTGGGTTTATGTAAATATATAAATATGTAAGTGTATATGAGGTACTTTGTATAATGGCAGATTTGGAGATCTCTTTTATGGATATGTTTGTGGATCTGAACCTTGCCCTCTGTAGTGCCATTAAGTTGACAAAAAGAAGCCCTCACCTGCCATCATCTCCCTCTCAATTGTTTCAACTCACCTTAGGATCTGGCTGTGTGTTGCAGCCTCTATTACCTTATCTCCTTCTGCACATGATGATACTTTGTTGAAAAATTCTCCTTTAGGATTGATTTTTTCAATGCATTACTTCAGTCCAAGATGATTTTTCCTCCTGGAAACTTTAAGCAAACTTCTTTGCAATTTTTGAGTTAAACAATGGTGAAAAAATATAGACATTTCCCCTTGTAAACATTTTCATATGTTTTTATGCTCAGGCATAATGCAGAAATGTCTGCATTTTAACATCCAAAATTTCCTTGTTAGCAAGTTCTCTCTAAGGACAAGGAGCTTTAGTTATTGGTAATAAACAAACAGAATAAATACAACTGTTTATAAATATTTAATTTCTCATCCTTGCACATCTGTGGTAGTTGATCTTACTCATTCTGGGAGTTAGAGCACGTGATTGGTTGCAGCCTGAATGCCAATTACAGCGAAAGCCACTGACAGGGTAAGGAGGAGCAAGACTTCTTCCCAGTTGTAATCAGCCAGAGACTGCTAAGAATGCTCTGTGATAACCAAGAAGTGTGGCTGACTGATACAGAAGCAGGATGGAGCCTTGAATGTGTTATGAATTAGAATCTCCCACTCACCAAACATTATATACGTGTGCTTTCTCCTAATTGTAGTTGGACCTAATGCAAAGAGTCTAGGTGTGGGAGGAAACTCTTTTCGCTCTCTGTTACCTGTGGCAAACTCCCATTGCATCTGAGATGATGCTGTCACACTGATTTGAGACCTCTGTATAGGATGTCACCCTCGATTCATTGATGAGGACATCACTTAGATGCAAAGGTCTGCCTTTGGAATAACTTGTACTATCAGGGTCTAAGCTGCTGATGTTAAAAATCACAGGACAATAAGCCTGTATTTTAGATTAGTT